ACATTTCTTATTACAGTACATTTTTCTAGACGGAGAATGATAACTACCATGTGTTGCTTTGTTAGGTAATAAATAAGGATGCTCTGAAAGTAAAGCCTGCAGTCTTTTATCTAAAGCAGGGAAGAGGGAAATTTCAGCAATATGTAAAATAGAAATTTAATTTTTGTAGTCTGTTTCCTGGTGGCACCTAATGTAAATGAAAAAGTATACAGTTTTAGTTTCAAGATACTCCATTAAAATTAATTTCCTTTTTTAGACTTTGCAATTTCACACATGTATAATTTCTTACTAATTTCTACTTTAAGTGTTGTTCATAGAGCTTTAGAGTTTGAAGGTACTTTGGATGCTGTCCAGACCTGTTCAGTGCACCAAATATTATGGTACATTAAGTAAGCATAGCTATAGCATGTCTGACAGATGGCTCTCCACCCACTACTTTAAATACATCTAGCAAAGGAGAGCGTCCACATTCTGGTTTCAGATGAATATAATAAAAATGTATTTGGTACTTTCTGGCATTGCTGGCATCATCTGGCATCATTATTGTAACATTGGCAAAATCAGAAGACAGGGAAAAGATCTCCAAGTTTTAGAATGTTTTTCTGAATCTTGGAATCACAGATAAATACTCTAAAGAGGGGAGTGGTGGAATCTGCATGAGGTGTCTTTTACAGGGGGAGAAAAAATGATTATGCTTGATTATGGTTGGGGATCTAGAGGAGGCTCGATTGTTTATTTTATTTTCATGTGATTGTCAGCTACTGCTTGGATTACTTGAATTTAGACTGCAAAAATGATCTTTTGGAAGTGCAGATAAAACGCTGATAGTATCAGAGAAAAGATGTACTATTTCTGAGAACAGGGTCCAAAACACACTGCAAAAATAATCTAGTATGAGACCACTTTAACTGCCCTGGCTCAATGCCAGGGAATCCTGGGAATTGTAATTTGTTGTGGCATCAGAGCTCTCTGACAGAGGAGGCTAAATGTCTCACAAAACTACAGTTCCCATAGCCAGGGCAGTTAAAGCAGTCTCAATCTGGATTATTTTTCCAGTGTATTTTGGAACTATGACTGTTGAAACAGGTGAACCTGATCTTGGGTTACTTTACTCGCTTTTCCCTTCTGAGTAGGTCTGTTATTCACTGCAGCTGGATATCACAAGTTTATTGCCTAGTTACTCTCACTCTAAGTAGTGGCCCTTTGCCATCTTTGCACTGTTGTGCCACTGCTGCAATCACCTTCACAGCCCACCCCAGCATTTCCTTATTAATAGTCAATACAGCAGAAAATTGAATAACAGGAACATATTGTAGGACTGTCATGATGTGGCCTAGTTTCCAAAAGCAACATGGGTATAATCACACTGATCTATCCATATTAATTATGGGGGTTTGCTTGCATGAATTGGCAGGTAATTTTTCTAATGTTAAAAATTCTAGGAAAATTCATGGTTTCCAGTAATCTTGGAGTTTTATTAAACTCCCATCTTTGCTACTGTCTGAAGGCTGGCAGGTTCCCAGTCACAGCTTGCATTAAACCCCTGGAGTTCTGGGTGTGTATTTTTTTAAAAAAATAAATGGGGTAGCAATCACTTTTAGTCTGGAAAAAACAAAAAGAATGTTTTAAAAATGAACAAGGATATTATTTCTCCACAGGAAGGGTGTGTCAATTTTTGCTATAACAGTTCATTGTCTGAAAACACTGAAATAGTGCAAGAACATGCTAATTGCTTACCAAAAAATTGGGTAGAATAGTGGCTGCACATTTTTCTTCATATCTTGGCTTCTACAGGGACTAGTGGCTTGCTTTTTCAAAGAAATGGAAGGATCTGGAGGTTATGGGTCATTGGAGGGATGCCTGCTCACCTTGACAGTGATTCATCAGTATTATGAGAAGACATTTAATAAGTATAGTGGTTATGTCTCCTGATATTTTTAGGGGCTAAAAAGTGGGATATAGGGCCTCTACAGACGGGCGGCCGTGGGCCATCCCGAGAATCCAAGGATTGGGGCCGAGGTTGCCACAGTCCTCGGCCCCAATCCACTCTTCGGCCGGCCCTGGAAGGAGCACTAAAATAGCACTCCTTTCTCAAGGCGCAGAAAGGGTGCTGGAAAAGGTGGCATGTCCTCTTCCACATCTCTTCTGTTGCAGTGTGTCTGGATGCTGCAAGGGAAGGATATCATCAGAGTGCTCACCATGTGCAATGGCAGGCGATCTGATCTCAGAAGGGGTTGGGGCACCCGGCGTTCAGCTGCCGCTCCCTTCCTTGGCTCGAAGACAGCGCTTTGCGCCATCTGCAAAGCTCCATAGTACAGTAAAGAAAGCATGGTGCCTGCTGTAAGCAAGTTTATTCCTTATGAAAACCAAAACTAAGTTCATATTTATGGAAACTTACATTCCATTAGGTTAATATTAGCATTTTGTTTGTAAGATGCTCATATCTTGTAAAATTTGCAAAAGCAGCACCTTTGAATCAGAACAAATGGGATTTATTTGAACTTCCACCTGACCCAGAAAGTCTGATTTCCAAAACAATGCACACTCCAAGTCTGACAACTGGACTTTTGATAGCAGTGTTTGCAGAAATCACTCTAAATTGGTTGTTATAAACTGCTTTAAATCCCAATCTGGGAATAAAGCAGGATAAACATCATTGTCGTTGTAATCTCTTGCTGTTTACTCGTGCTTGCTATATAGGGGGTGAAGTCTGTTTCTTTTTACCCAACTACACAACAGCAACAGGATGGTGCTCTGGCTCATATCTAAGCTGGATGCTGACTGGCTGTAGAGGTGACATGGGTGTCACACAGCTGTTGCTCTATAGCTGGGGGGGGGG